TGGTAGTATGGCAGTAACATGAGAGTAACATGATGGTAACATGGCAGTAGTTAGTAGTGTAGTAGAAGTATGGTAGTTGTATAGGTATGGCAGTAGTGTTATAGTATAGTAGTAGTAGTCGTGTGCGCCTCAGGATTGATTTGAAGATTCTTTTAGTGGTTTTTAAATGTCTCAGTGGTCTTGCACCATCTTATCTTGCAGAGCTGCTATTACCTTCTGAACCCCCACGGACCTTAAGGTCCTCTGGTACTAGACCACCAACAGTTCCAACAGTCAGAACTCACACTCACGGTGAAGCTTCTGTCCAGGACTATGGCCCCCATCGTGGAATAGTCTGCCAGAGAACCTTGTTTTTCAGAGCAGACCCATAACTTTGTAACTGCATTTCCTGAACTGGATCATCTCTGCTCAGTGTCTACATGTTCCATACAATTGTTTGTTTTTGTGGGTTTGTTTATAATTCTGTACAGCACTTTGAGCTGCTTTTAGTATGAAGGGTGCTTTATAAATAAAATTAATTGATTGATTGATTGATTGATAGTATGACAGCATTATAGTAGCAGTATTGTGATAGTATAGTAGTGGTATACTAGTTGTATGTTAGTAGTATAGTGTTAGTATTTTATCAGTGTAGTAGTATTTCTACAACATTTGAAACGTTTCCTGTCTCTCCTTCAGGTCAGAAGCCGTTCCCGTGTCCACGGTGCGACGCCTTCTTCTCCACCAAGTCCAACTGTGAGCGCCACCTGCTGCGCAAACATGGCGTCACCCACAGGACGCTGCGACGCAACGGCGCCATCGCCAAAAAGGAGGGAGACGAGGGCTCTCCCGAGAGCGCCGGTCAGACAATAATCTGCTGCACGTTTACACACTGGGTGTCAGATTATAGATTTACCACAGGATTAAAAACAAAAACTCTGGGATTAAACTCGTTACAAGGTTTCAGGCTACAAACATTTTGTTAAAACCTTTAAGGAATAAATATATAATTGACAGAATAACCATAAATGACTACATTCATTTAAATAGTTTTATAACTTTTTTTATTTGTTTAACATAACTTTGACCCTTTCAGAATAATTTGAAGTGACCTGTGAGGTAAAAATTTAAATGATCCCATTTTCGGTCTAGAAATGAGTTTTTGGCTGCTTCGTGTTTTCCTCGTGGCTCCGTCCGGCACCCTGAACCTCAACGTGTGACCCTTCGATCAAACTCTTTCCTTACTGGTCGCGTCTTCTTCTGTTTGTTTTGCAGAGAGCCAATCGGAGACGGAGCAGGTTGCTCAAGATAATCCAGACCTCGGCAGCGCTGTGTCCACAGATTTAAGCCCCGCCCCCAGTGTTAATAACCCCGCCCTTCAAGAAAGCACACAGCCAAGCCCCGCCCACAAACCAAGCCAAGGTTAGCCAGTAGAAACAGCTCGATACGTAGAATGGATTTAATTTTGAAGAATTAATGTTTTTAGCACAGTTTTGACTAAAGACTGAACTTTAAGAAATAAAACAATATTTAGAAAAAGACTGAAAGTTTAAGGTTTTCAGCCAGAGTGTGATTCAGTTGTTTTTTAAAACCATGTAAATGGGACGGGTCGGTTTGTGCAGCAGGGTCCAGTCCAGCTGCTACAGCTCAGCGGGAAGCAGAAACCTCAGAGGAGCCGGACCAGCAGGAGGTGCCAGAGACCAAAGGATCGCCTGAAAAACCTCCTCAGGAGGGCAGCAAGGTACCAGACTGTCTGAACACAAAGTGTTCAGGCTGAAGGATGGAGGTGTTGGTTCTTATCACCTGAAGGCCCGTTTTACCGTTAGCTAACATGCTAGTTAGCACATGGCTAATGGCAGCTGTTTGTGTCCTTCAGGTGGAGAACACGGACGATGACGACTGTCACAGCAACAAGAGTCTGGACCTGAACTTTGGCAGGAAGCTCATCGACTTTAAGCTCTCCACTTCCTCCTCAAGCTCTGCCCCTCAAGAAGAACAAACGCCCTCCTCTACCTCGGCTCCTCAGGAGCCGCTGGAGAGCTCCGAGGAGAAACCCTCATCCTCCTGCAGCCCCACGGTGTACAAACATGTCTGTCAGGTCTGCAGGAAGACCTTCCGCTATGCCACCACGCTGGCCCGCCATGAGAGGGCGCACCTGTCTGAGGAGGCTCCGCCCCTTACAGAGGAGTCTTCACCAGCAAAGGAGGAGGAGGCGGGGAAGGAGAGCAGAGCTGCAGATGAAGAGAAGGAGGAGTTTGAGACGATGGAGGTGGAGGAGGCCAAAGGAGCAGAGAGTGAAGGAGGAGAGCGAGGGGAGTCTGAGGAGGAGAAGGAAGAGAGGAGCGACGAGGAGGCGTCAGAACCAAAGACTGTAGAGGGAGGAGGAGGAGGGAGAGTTGACAAGAGGAAGAAGATCTGCAACGAGTGCGGGAAAAGATTCTGGTCCCTGCAGGACCTGACCCGGCACCTGCGGTCCCACACAGGTAGCACACACACCTGAGCACACACACACCTGTTGGTCCGGTGCCAGAGGTGAGTCCAGCTCATGAAGGTCTGGATCTGGTCTCTGTCCCCCCAGGCGAGCGCCCCTACCAGTGTCAGACCTGCGAGAGAACCTTCACCCTGAAGCACAGTCTGGTCCGGCATCAGAGGATCCACCTGAGGCCTCGCGGGGCTGACGGGTCCTCCGGCGCCAACGATGACGTCAGCGAGGACGGAGACTCCCCCGCCCCCACCCCGACCTCCACCTGCCCGCCCTCTGAGAATGAAAGCGAGTGTGGGAGCGCAGGCGCTAAGGATCTGGAGGAGGAGGAGGTCAAGGAGGAGGCTGAAGGTCAGCGGGACGGCTCGTCCACGGTGGGGAAGGCTGCCCAAGGACCGGACCCGGGTCCACAGACCGCTTCAAAAGAGATGGGCGGGGCTTCAGCAGCGCCACAACCCTCCACTGACTCCCCTCAGAGAGCTACTGAATCAAAAATGGCAGCGGACTCTTCTAAAGACCCCGCCTCCAGCTCCCCTCCAGGAGACGCCGCCTCCCTCCCCCCGGCAGAGGGCTTCATCCAGGGGCTGCTGGAGATCCACACCAAGCCCCCCCTGGAGCACCTCCTTCCCAACGGAGAGCCTCCTCTGGTGGGGGTGGACTGAAGGAGCGACCACCACAGTGCCATACGACCCGCTGGTGGGGATGGACCCGGCGGCGGAGCGGAAACCTCGTGTTCTTGAAGTGCCTTAACTACTAGTCCGACTGCGACGAGACTTTTTTTTTTTTTGCAATATCTTTATCTGATTATTACGAGGATGGATCTAATTTTATAGCTTTTTAAGACGATTACTATTTTTGTGCGGGGAATCTATATTTCAGCAATAAATGATTAAATGATTTATTATTGTTCTAGATGTTGTTTTGAGAATTGATGATCAACTCGAGGAAGACGCCGAGAGACAGAAATAAAAACTGGATCGGCACCGGCAGATCCTTCTTCCGTATTTAAGCCTGAGCTGAGGCCGAAAACGAGACGGGACGAGGCAAAACTTTTTATTTTTGTTGGATATTCAATATTCAACAGTTTCGGTTGAAGACTTCTTTTTTTTTTTTGTACTTTGGAGCGAGCTCGGCCGTTCGGCGGGTCGAGCCCGGTTTCACCAGCAAACAGAAGACGCTCTTTCTCATCGGAAGTAACTGGAAAAACGTCGGCCGCTTTTCGGCTGGCCTTCGTAACGTAGCCGTCTTTGGACCGGCTCGCACAGAGACACGAACTTGTCTGAAGCCTCGGTTCTGTGCGGACGAACTCCTGAAAGGGCGACAATAGAAACAGTGTTTTGAACTCCCTTCAGCTGATTCCATGTGTGCAGGCGGTGGTGGTCGAGTGTTTCTCTGCGTGTGGTGAAGATCCACCATATTTAGGTGTGGGACGGGGAACTCTTGTTTTTGTGGATTTTTTTTTAAATAACTGAACAAATCAAAGTTTTTTGTTGTGTGTGTGCCTGTGTGTGTGCGTGACCCTTACCTTCTCGTCATTGTCGCCCTCTAGTGTTCGTTAACGACAGCCACCAGCATGCTAACACCTACTGCCGCTAATCTCTATCCCAGGTGCAGTTTTACCTCAATGTCTGCTTTTTAACTTAAAGAGCATTAAACGTGGTGAAAGCAGCTCTGCGTGCGTGCAGCCCTTTAAATCCTACGTCTTCCTCACGGCTAACGAGCTCTGTTAGCCTGGTTTCCACTGGAGGCCAAATCAGAGCTAGCCAATGCTAACTTTTTAACGTAGCTTCAAAACACAGTGGTCGGGGCTGTGATTCAGTTTGGACACCAGCAGCTGTGAAGGATAACTCGGTTGTGCAAAATATCAAGAGCCAAGTTAGCACACATTAGCTTAGCATAGCTTGGTAAGGGGCTAACACCAGCTAGTTATAATTAGCTGGTTGATAAAGTTTTTAACGACTAAACCGTTGGTTATTCTGGTTTGTTGGCTCATGCTTAGCTTCGAACATGTTCAGCTAATTCCATCCCTGCTCAGTATTATCCGCGCACTTTGAGTTATCCTTGAACGGCTCTGGTTCAGTTTTAGCCTGGGGACTTCTTCTGGGTCCCAGTCCGTCTCGGTGCAAACAGCTAAAAGCCTTAGCCTTTCTTTGGAAACGAACTGGACCCTAGGGCTGGCCATGACGTTCCAAGCGTTAAAGACAATCATACTCCTACTTGGTTTCCAGTAGGAGACAGAAGGACTAGTTTGTGTTCCTGAACTGTATTAACCTGCTGCACAAATAAACAATACTATAGAAGGGCTAACTGTCCCCGTGACGCCAACCCAACCAGTCGTATGTCCAGCAGGACGGGGTTTGACATTGGGTTAGTGGTTCTGATGCTATTACCAGAGGGACGGGTAATAAGTCTGTATGTTTGTATTTTTCTCTTGTGTGAATAGAACATTTTGCTTCTTGTACATTTTTTTATATATCAGACAACCTCATAAGTAAACGTAACCTCAGTGGCTCATAGTAAAACTGTAAGGCGGCGCTGGTTGATCGTGGTTCGAGGTCCGACGGAGCGCCGCCGTTAAAACTGGCACTAACGACTTCCAAACCTTCTGTTTAAACTACTAACAAGCTCTACATTCAGGAGAGAGAGGGCTGGTTCACTAAGTTTATGATTCCCAAAACTAATTAACACAAACCGTAACAACACCCGCCATTAAACAAAAAACAGTAGAAGCTAAAACAGTCGGGTTTGAGCTATAAAATGCTACAAAATGTGTACGTATAGAACAATTTGTGGTTAGTTGTGACTTTACTAAACAACTGGTTGTTACAGTTTTATATTCGCTATCTGTAACTAAAGTGCCTCAAGCCAAGAAGCTAGCTTGCTGCTACATGTTAGCTTTTTAAATGTTGAAAAGAAGCAAATCTAAAATATTTTGTTCCCCGATTTCAGTTTCATAACTCTCCTAAATACAATTTAAATACGTCATCCTTTTTAAACAAGTTTATATTGTAAAGATGTTAGGAGTGCTGAGGCTAACTAGCCAACTCAGCTTGCTGTTGGCTAACAATCCAAATAAGCCCTTTTTTTTTTTTACATTTTATTATACATCATCATTTAACTTTACTATTAAACAGCTGTGCACGTTAACAAATAACCACAGAGGTATAAAAAAGGCTGCACATTATTTTAAAAAAGCTTGAAATCTGAAGAGCTAACTAGCTAGTATTAGCACTAGCTAGATTTCTGCGGCTAACTTCTCGGTTGTTTATTCATTTACTTTTTCACATCTTATTAGTTGTGAACTGAACACTTAAATTTAGTCCATTAAACAAATATTATATATAAAAACCTAATTTATGAGAAGTTAATCCAAACAGCTAGCTACTTTCAGCTCTTTCATGCTTTGAGCTAAGAAGCTAAATTTCTATTTGTCAGAAAACTAAAATGTGAAAAAGAAATTTTGTACCTCTGATTCAGTCTTATAACAGTTCTAAATATGTATATTTTTAATAAATAACATTTTTGGGAAAGAGCAAAAAGTAAACTTAAAAAATGTTAAAACGTGATTAAGCTACATTGCTAACAAGCTAACTTTCTGCTTCTGTTCTTTCAGTTTGTTGTCCTGAAGATATTCTAATTTTCTTATTTTCTTCCTGCATTTATTAAAAAATGAACAAGATTTTTTATTTTTGTTTAGAGGTTTGCTGTTTTGATCCTCCAACCCTTTGGTTTAAGAGCGAAGACGATAAATTTTGTGTTTAGGCGACTGTTAGCGTTCAAACGGTAAATCTGTTTTTCGGAGTCGATTGGTTTTTTTTGGGATCTTTAGAGGAACTCCCTTCTCTCTGGTGGTGAACGGGTTCTGTCCTGTTTTCTGTGGACCCTCTGGGGTTCTGTTGACGTACGGCCATATGAATACTGGACTTCCATTCGAATGCACGTGGACTGTTTTTAAATGTATTTATTTGGAGCCCAGGTGTGTGTGTGTGCGTGTGTGTGAAGTGTCTGTGACGACTTGAGAAGAAGCCATGTATTAAAAAATATCACATTTATGCTGCAGAACTGTTGTGAGGAACCGGTGGTTTGTGTTGTGGACTAACCGGCTTGCCGTAGCGGGCCGGCGTGAGACTCAGATTAGCAATAAAACTCCAAAAGCTTTACGTAGATTTCCTGTACGAGCTGAGATCAGACGGTCTGGGTCGATTCGTTCTGTTTTAGTTTTCCTGACGTATAAAACTGTGAAAATCCATCGTGTTCAGTTAAAGGGTGAGCTTTAGGTTAGGTTTTATTATTTTTGCATGTTAATCTCATTCATTCAGTTCAGGATGATTTCTCATTCCTCATCACTTCACACGTATAAAAATGATTTATAATCTCGCTCTCAGGGTCTTTCACAAATCCATGATTTGAACGCTTCATGTTCTGATTTCCTGAGTCGCAACTTGTCCTGATTTTTTTTTTATTTTAAGATCGATTCAAAATTGTCAATCACTACATAAACACTTGACTGTGAACTTGTCATTACCTAACGGAGAACGTGTGGTCAAAAGCAGAACGTTGTCTCCATCTTCTTCTGTTGAACTTGTCCCGGCAGAGGACGTGCTGGACCTCAGAGCATTAATTCACTTCTGGAGACGTTTTCTGAGCTCGTTTCTTCTTCCTGTTAGAAACATGACCGTGTTTCACCGAGTCGAGATGTAAACCTCCTCTGTATTCAACCCAATAAGAAAAAGCAATAAAGATTATGTTAAGGAAAGGTGTGTGAATCAACACGGCTCACGTTTTGTGCTTTCGTTTGGGTGAAGAAAGAAAAACTACAGCACTCAGAATAATAAACTTAAGAAGAAGAAAGGGTAAATTACCATCTTTAAGCAAAACTTTTAGCTGTAGTGAGTTTGGGGTGGAGTTAAGTGTGGCTCCGCCTACTCGACTTAGGGCGGAGTCTGATATTTGACTCCTCCTACAATTAAGTTATTCGTCACCTTCTGGTAGAAGTTGGTAATTACATCCATAAATGTAACTGCTGTATATCCATTACCTTCCTCTTGAACATTTTAAAACAACGATTAAAAGATTGAATCGTTTTCCGACGGTGAACCTGAACAAACATCTGTCATAAAAAACAAATGGTTTTTAAGAACAAAAACCTGAATGGGTCAAAATGTGGGGCCGGGTCGGGGCTTGTACCAAATACATGGTTTACATCGTATAAAATTAAATGTTCTACTTTAGTTTTACAATAAATTGTTACTTTATGAAACTCGAAAAGTTGACAAAGGATGGTAAAATTATATTTTCACAAATTGTACCATTGATTTACATCGTCTTCAATAATCTTACATGAATTTCTACCTCGGTTGTGTAGTTTTAATGGTTATAAATTTTGTAGTATATAGTGTAAAATATTAGGACTGAGAAGTTGTACTGAAAACTATTTTACTTTGTTAGCTGCTGTTACATCGTTTAAAGTCTGGTTCTGACATCTGGAACTTTTCCAAAGACAAACGTTGACGTTAAAAAATAATTAAAAAAAAAAAAAAAGAGAAAAATCGTAAACATGAAAACTTCATTTAAAATGTTTAAAGTCCATCGGATCAAATGTTAAACTTTAATCGGCGCTAAATTTGTTTTAATCTTTAGAATCTGACAGCAGAAAACAATGTGAAGTTTTTCAGGAGCAGCATCGCCCCCTGAAGGTTGGAGGTTGAACTACACCCAGAACAACTCAAGTTGGCAACGATGAATAAAAACAGACGACTTTAACTTTAGATGTTGGTTTGAACTGAATGTTTTTACCGGAGTCTGAGCTAAAGGTAAATTGTCTCAAAATGGCTCCCTCGAGGAATGCCTGTCACCTGCCAATGTTTAAACCAGACTCTCAGCTACTACCACACCAGGTTTTAGGTCAACACCTGGAAAATGGATAGTACATGATCGCCCACCTTTCAGCAGGTGTGCTGTTCAGGTAGAGACAAAACCTTAAGACAATATTTTATTTATAATTTCAGGTTACGTCAGTAAATATTTTACAGTATTTACACAGCAGACATCTGGCCCCGCCCACCACAGGTGCAGCTTCTGGCCCCGCCCACCACACGAGAAGCCTCTGGCCCCGCCCACCACAGGTGCAGCCCTCCCTGGACATCAGACCGTGGCAGGTTTCATCAGCGCCTGGTCCCCAAACAGCTGCTTGAAGTGGGAGACGTGCTCGTCGCAGTGCTCACCTGAGAGACAACAACACGATCACTCACCTGGCCAGATGTGCTGCAGGTAAAGGGACAGTTCAGACATTTTAAAAGTGTCCTAACTCCACACAGCTGGTAGGTCCAACGGGCTTTAATGACACCGGGAGTCATTTCCGGGTCATCCAAGGTCTCAGCATCTTTTAACAGGCGCTGCGACCTGAAACGGTTCTGATGGATCCACGAGTCAGAACCGACTGGACCAAACGAAGCCGCTTCTTAAAGGGATAGTTCTGACAGTCGACGGAGGTCCAGCTGATCCAAACAGGACCTGCTTTATAGTTTTTCACATTTGAAAAACTGAATTAAACTTCTACACTTTAGTTTGTCCGCGTTCTGAATGAACGTCTGCCAGGATCAGAACCAACCTTTGGACCCGTACCTTCGCTTCCAACGGTCCATCTCTGCTCTGCATGCAGACCTGGTTCGGTTCAGAACCCGTAACAAACGAGTAATACGAGTTAACGTGGACGAAGATGAGAAATCCCAACAAATATACAGAATATCCCTTTAAAACGGCTCCGCTCTTTACAGGACCTGGACCCGGACGGATTCTACTGGTGCCGGAACGGAACCACAGACAGCCGAGGAGGAGACCAGCCTTTAACTCAGTCCTTCAGAATGAGGTCGTCCAGAGAGCTATCTGCAACAGGTAAGACACTAACTGCTCATGTTTTCTTAAAGATAAACTGAAGTTGGTATATTTTTGTATTTAGCTAATAACACTAATGTTTAACCTTTAGCTTTTTAACATTTAGCTACTAGCTAATGTTTTAGCTAATAGTTACCTTCAGCGTATATTTTACCTGTTGACACGTTTTATTA